CAGAATGACATCAAAATAGCTGTAAATTCTATTATTAAAAGTCAATCAATCGCAACTCATTTTTATGTTATTGTGACTTTGTTGTTCTGCTTGGACTAATATTGTCCTTGCATAAAACTATTTGTCGATTGTTTCAATAAAAATTCGCTCATTAGTACATCAGACATTGGAATGTTAATTAGAAAGGAATTTCCCGTAATATTATTAAAATAAAGGACAAAATTGAATTTCGAGAAAAAAATTAATAAATCTAAAGGACAGCTACTTACTTGAAATAAAGAACTTTGTAATAAAGGATGTAAGATCACCGTAGTAATACCCTGATATTCCACTTTCGAGCAAACTCCCTCTTTTCGTGATAAAACTTGACTCGCGTTGAAATATGGAATGTCGAAGATTATTATTTATCGCGAGCAATCGCGATTTATCGTCGATCTTACGAAGAGCCGATCGTAGATTCGTCGGGAAATCTGTTATCGGTTATTGCGGTGAGGAGCCGGCGTACTTGGTATGATGAAACCCTTTTCTCTCTCTCTCTCTCTCTCACATCTTCCTCTTCGCGCTCCATCCTTTCGCTCTCCTCTCATCTCCTCTCGTCTCCGCTCGTCTCCGCTCGTCTGACCGCCACGAGTCGCCGGCGATCAGCGGGAGTGGCTCTCTCGCATTCCGGTGCCTCTTCACCGTACCGATCGCGCCGGCAGCGTTTGCACCGAACAGCAAGCACACTGATTTCCGGATCGGAGAAGCCCGACGAGATGCCGCTTTTGAAGATCCGCCGGCAAAGATCCTAATTCGATGCAGCTTTTGCCCGCTCGGTATCTCGGCGAAGACGGATCGCGGGAGTGCGCCGCGACGCATTATAATGCATGACGTCGATTCAGCCTCTCAATGTCACGACATTCAGCTCGGCGACGATCCGCGTTGCGACGTCGCGTGAAGAGATAAATTCGTGATATCGCGCAAACTTGAAATTTTGGACATCACCAGCGTGAAAAGGAAAAGTGATGAAGTTATGTGAAAGTTTAAGATCGAGTCTTACAGCGAGTTCGGTTGAATACACTAATGTGCACTGCATATTAAAATCGTTGCAAATGATTTAATCTGAGTGTGAAATGCAAATATTTATAAAATACATATGTACTTAACAACATAATAAAGTGTATTGAGGATTTCGCGGTTTAATCCGTTAATTTTTTTACATATTTATGTCAAACACACATTTTTATGTCAATTTGTACGATGGCTTTAATTTTTAGAGAGCGAAATTTATTTTTTATCTTACTCTAACTTTTTTCTGAATAAGATTTGTTATAATTCATTATTTCGTTGTATTCTTTACCTCGAAATATAACCCCATCAGCGTCACTATAGTGACTTTCTCATCTTGTGAAGATTAATCAAGAAAAAGAACGAGGATCTTTTTAAAATCTTACAGCTTTTTCCGAGTAAGATTTATTATATATTTATTCCATTGTATTCTCTATTCAAAATATACTGTTTCAGCTTCACTAAAGTAGTTTGCTGTCTTGTGAAGATTATTATTTAGAGAGTGAGAGTCTATTTTTAAAACCTTACAGCTTTTGAGTATACAAGATTTCTTATCTTACTGAAAAAAAAAATCTTAATTTCAAAGGAATATCTCTTTGCTCATATATTGAAAATTTTTTTGAAAATAAGATATTGTACTCTTTCAAAGAAATAAGATATTGTATTCTCAAAGAAATTTTCATTCAAAGAAATAATTTTTTTAAATACGAGCAAAGAGATATTTCTTTGAAACTAAGATTTTTTTTCAATGTATAATTCATTATATTCTTTATCTTAAACTGTGACACTGTTTCAGTGCCACATAGTAGTTTTCCCATCTTGTAAAGGTTAATGTGCACCAAGGTGAATTGTGTGTGAACACCGAGTGTGTTTAACGAATTCGCTATTATAGTCTCGAAAAATAAGGATAACGTTTAGGGTCACTTCACAAATCTCTATTCACAAATCCAACCGAAATCCACCGAAATCCATATGTAGACACTTAACGTCCCCGACGGTGCCATCGGAGAAGAAAAGATCGGAGACGATGTTTCTTCTGTCGTTTTTCTCTTACTTTGTTTTTCTCTTTTGTGACACTCTTCCGAAGCCAAAGCTCGTAATTCACGAATCCGTTCACCTTGGAAGCCGAGCGAGCGGGCGCGGTGGCGCCGCCGGTACGGTCGAATCTTCCGCGTGGCTATATATTTTTGCAAACTCGGCGGTGACACTATCTCACAGATTCGCGCGGCACTTAGCAGCTTACGGTGACACGCGTAATTCGCGGAATTATATTTACGTTCCCTTTGTGGAGTGACGCTCGCTGCGCGTGCCAAAATCGCGCAGCGAGCTCACCCGTCCGGCCTTACTTTGTAAATAAATTGTATTTACCCGACGCGCACCGGCGTTGTATATTGGACGTCGACCGACGACAGCGAGTATAATAAACCAGGTTCGCGTATGTCAATTTGTTCCTTATCGGTCGGATAAATATTTGCGCCGATAATCGCTCGTATGCTCTGATTGTTTGTCGCACGTTGCATGGCGTTGTTGCCGGGAGTCTAAAAAAATTGTTAAAACTTGGAAAATTCTATCTCCGTGAACAATGAACATTCGATACCTTTGATTTACGTTCAGCAAGTTCATGGAGATTGTTATATCTGGAATCATCCCTTTTGTTGAAATTAATTGTTCGTAATTAAAAATAATTTGCGAGATCTTTCGTCAATTGGATGAGATAATATTTCTTTGCTGATATATTTTGATGATCAGGATTAAGTACGTTATATAATTATTTTATCATTAAGATTATTTTTTGTTGAGATGAGCGAAAAAAATATTAATTTTTATCAGGAAACGCCGAGTGAGTTTTGCTTTCTATTTATGTAACAACAGCCCTCGCGTGGGAAACAGGACAAGGATTTGGTGAAGATAGAAGAGAGAGAGAGAGAGAGAGAGAGAGGAGGAGGAGGAGGAGAGAATTCTCCTGTGAAATTTGCTCGACGCGACTCGGCAACGATGGGGGCGAGGCCAGCGGATTTTTAAATAATTGCGTTCCTAAAAATAGACGGCTCTCTCTTCTATCTTCACGATATCCTTGAAGTCCCATTCCTTGGCTTTGCCCATCCCTCGTCGCTTTCTCTAATGTTTTAGGGTGCGATGTGGCAGGAAATGCTTCTCCTGTAGGTACGAGATTTTGGAATTCAAAAGGAATGCAACCGAGCTCTCATCCAACTTGTCCGTCTGACATCATCTTCTCTTTTAGTGAATGGACCTGACCTTCTATGGTCTATCTCTAAAACTATTGGCATATTGTGTCGAGTCTAAAATCTTTTATATTGTAACCATACTATTCGCAATACTCGTAAAAACAATATTTTATCTTGAGACATTTTATTTTTAATTATCAATTGTCTTTATCTTGTTAAATATCTATTTCATTAAATAAAGTCAAAAACATACAGTGATTAGATTAGATATATCATTAGTATAATTTTGTCGAAACAAAGTAGATTTTTATAAAAGCTCAATAAAATGATTTTCGAAATAAAATGATAGATTTTAGGAGACCAATAAATAACTGTGAGATGTAAGAAGAACGAGTTTTAAAAGACATTAAAATCGAACGTAGGTTATTTATGCGAACAGATTAACATTGTTTCATCGCGAATTATAGTTGGTCATTCTGTTTGTTATACGAGACTTTTGTCACAGTGCACACAAATAAATTAACCGTCTCGAGCGAATAATTATTTTGGACGATTCTGTCACCTCCTTTGTGCCGCCATGAAGGAGGAACAAGCACAGATAGAGAAAGAGAGAGAGAAAGAGAGAGACATTTCCGTGATGCTCATGAATCATGCGTCTGGCGATTATACCTTGGCCGTTTCTGTCTCTTCTGGCCCGCGGAAATTGTTACTTTTAATTGTTCTCGCTCTGCGATCGATCGTGAATTCTTGCGAACAGTTAATCGCCATTGATCGCCACTGTCGGCTTTAACATTCAGCCTAAGCGCTAAAGGTTGTATCGAGTGACAGCGTACAGTTTATCTCTCTTCGACGATACATAAGAAAGGAGATTTATTTTGCTATCGGATTTACATCTCCCGCGCGCGTTCGCCGCGCTGCATAGGACGTGGTGACGAATCGTTTTACCGTTTGGCACGATGCAACTTAAGAGGCGAACGCATCTCTCGCGCGCACCTGCGCCGAGAGAATCGAGTTTATTCCGTCTGCTGAAGCGGAGAAATCCGAGACTAGGTATTACGTCGATTAACCGCGCGCGGGACGAGGCACGGACGAGGTATGGTCTCATATGAAATTACGTGGAACCTCGCTGCCGGTGTTTACCGACAATAAGCCTTTTATGCAACGCACGCGTCGTGAAATTCTTCTTCACCCGGCTCGCGTCGGAAAATTCTCGTCGTTCGATCCTCGCGCGATAACGAACGTCTCTGTTCAGTGGCGACGCTTTTACGTTCATAGAAAAGACGATTTTGCTAAAGTATCTAAAGCTTCAACTATATGTATTATTTAGACACAGATTTCAAAATAATTTTAATAAACTATTATATTAAAATATAAATTTAAAATGGGTTTGGTTGCTAAAATGTCAAAATTTTTTGCTCATCTGACACAATTATTTTCAGATTTGTATCGAGTTACAAATTTTTAAATAGTACTTGAACAAAAAAATTGTTTCTTTTATGTTGTAAAATCGTGTTAGCGTCGTCGCTGTGTGACTCAGTGATACACACATTTTTTAATGTTTGTTTTTTTCCCTTCCTCTGCTCAAGTATAGTACAACGATGATTATGTTTCTCTCTATCTTTATTCTATAAAGCGAAACATGTGCGAGAGCGAAAAAAAGCGTGAGTGAGTGAGTGAGAGAGTGAGAAGGGGGAAAGGAATTAAGAGAGGAAGAAATAGTCTCGGTGTGGAAAGCAGCTTCTCAAGGGGTTGCCCGTTTATTTTCAGATTGTGCACCCAGTGAAGGGGATCAACGTCGGTGCAGAAACAGCACGCCTCTGCCACTTCCCGGCTCGCTTACCACCAACGGAGAAGGTAACTATGTCTTCAAGGTTATATGTACCCCATATGTTCACCGATGAGAGATCCCACGATGAGAGATGTATGGGATGTTCCCCGTTGAGTCATTCTAACGATAATGGATCGTTAGAAATTTCGACATGAAATTTCGAAAAAATAAGATGATCCGTTTCTCGTCGTGTCATATCCAATTTTTTTTTCTCTTTTTATCTTTGAATAATCGTTCAAACCCCGTGGTTGAGTCCCCGAGATACCTCCGACTACGCCACTGATCGATGACTACACCTACATCCACGTGGTTAACCTTGATCGGCGCCACGATCAGTTTTTCTTTTCTCATGCATTTCTTCCCTATCCGAAAGAAATAAAAGCGGGTTTTAATTTTAAGCGTGCTTCATTCCCCTTCGAATTACGGCAGGTTGCAAGAGATAATCGCGATTCAATTTAATTTTACATTTTCTAACGCATACAGTTTTTACATGCACTAAGGATTTGAATAAATTATCTTCTCCCTTTTTCCATATTATACTTTCTACAAAAAAAAATCACTCGCATTCTATGTTCTCTAAATTCTTTAGAATGAAATTTCAGAAGAGTGAAAATTGAGCCAGTCTTTAAAAAGGATGGCTCCAATTTTCATTCTTTAAGAGATTTCACTCTTCGGAGTGAAATTCGCTCTGAAAGTTTTAGAGAGAGTATATATAAAAATCATCGTTCTCACATTTGATTTACAATATGCCTGTGTAAAAGGTAATGATTTATCGCTCCCCAAGATTTTCTCGAAAGAACGAGACAACGTTTCCACAATGTCGACCGGCCTCGATCGAAGAAATTTCCTCAGCACGCACGTTCCTTCGGGCTGACGTGCACGTAGCTTTTCACGCATGACGCACCGCACGGATCGCGGACTCGTCGTTTTTCGGACCGCTCTCGGGCCGCTCTCGCGTTGCTGCTTCGTGGAACGCCTGAAACGCTTTTGGCCCCAGCCAGAAGCAGGAAAGTGAACGCGCTCTGCTCTCTCGTCGTCGACTCGTACGACGATTACTCTCGTTTCTCCGCAACGTCGTTCAATAATTTTCTGTGTCGTTGCGCCATATCGGACTGAGTATACAAATTTTTTTTTTCGAAGTGTAGATGAAAGTGCGAAAATATTAGCGGGTATTAGCGATAAGAAAATAATTTGCAAGAATGAAAGATAAAAAAATACACATAAAAAACTGATTAATGTAACGATTAATGTACGTCTATACTTATTTATTTATTTACTTATTTATTACTATTGAATTGATTTTAAAAGAATATTTCAATTATAGGCAGTTTTTTTTTGGATTACGTTCTATGAGATGTAATTTGATCTGTAGGAAGATTAAGTCTTTATATAAGCGAATGACGACTTTATTTATTCTCTTGATTGATCGCAAATTCCCATACCGGTGAAGAAAAACGAATATTAATTATAATATTCACGACAACACGTTACGGCGAGTTTTTCTCTCGTGTGTCGAAGTCTTTTTATGTATTTTTACTGCCTTCGCCAATGCAAACGCTGCTGCTCTAACGACGTCAAACATTCTCAAGTCGACAAATTGCGTCTGTCCGGCGCATCTTGCGATTTTACAAGAGTGAATAAGAAACGATGCGTATGTTCACGCATTTAATCAGAGTAATCGTGTAGAACATAATTTACTCCAGCAATTTCGGATTAAGAGAACGTCGTTTATATAAGAATTATTATAAGAGTGTAAACTTTTCAAATCTTTTGAATTTTTTAATTCCTTTAAATTACATTTCAGATGCATATGAAAATTCTTAAATTACTAAATAACTATCAAGTTATTTTACTTTTTCTCTCTTTTAAATCCTTTTTTTAATTTCTGGTATTTATTTATAGTGTCTTAATTTTTTACATGAGGTAAAAATAAAAAATTGAAATTATAAATAAAACACTAAAACTATATATCCATTGAATAAAAAAACATGCTAGTATTTCTCAGGCGGATTTGAAATTTCTGAGATTTTACAGTATAGCATTAAAAAAATGCACGTTCGACCTGTCGTCACAGCAGGTCATTTACCGGAAACGAGAATCATCCTGACGGGATTGCACTTTCGTCGGCTTAGCAAATGTCGCGTATATTCGCGAGATGTTGAGCGCTGCAATATAATACGCGAAGTGTGGAGCACCGAAAGGGATGACATGGAATCATAAACACGCGCGTGGTTACCTTTTTATTTGAGTTATAGATAGAACGCGCTGCTTCCGGGAGAGAACAGAAATATCAGGATTCGATCGAGCGTTTTCCAACTGACGCCGCGACCATCGGCGTCTTTTCAGAAGGCTTTTTCAACTCGGGATGCTTCATTTATTTCTTTTCATATAAATTCAGCGATAAATCACGATTAATTGCAATTTAAGAAATAACATAAGGTAAACGTCCCAGTATTTGTCCAGACATTTACAACACATACAAAACTTTATATTATTATTAATCTCAAAATGTGCTTTCTAAAATGTATTACAATTTAATTACAATCTATAAATACAATTAAATTATAATATTGTAATAAAAAAGCATTTGTAAAATTAATAATAATAAATTTTGTGTAAAAATAGAAAGTATAAAAGAAAGTATTCAGTCACTGGGACATTTATACCTTAAAAAAATTAAGATATCTTTCACTATTGTTATGGACGCAATTCGATGATGTTTTAATAATTTTTTTTTTATCAATTAATAATAACCCGTTGGTTAAAAATTTCAACTTCGCGGAATACGGGCGATGGATCCATCGTCGATCCATCAAACGGTGCCGTACGTCGTCGGACGCAGGCTGTTGCATCTGCCGCAGGACGAGGGGAAGAAGAAGGCCGTGCAGGAACGCGGGTAGGAAGGAAAGAGAAGGGAAAAGCCGGCTCCCGGGATGCAGGCAGGTTTGAGAATGGCACGATAGGTCGGTCGGCTAAGGTGGGTGGCATTCGGCGCGACTGTTTGAGGGAACAGGGGGACCCCTGGCGCCAGACAGCTGCCGCGTGTCTCGACCTCGCTCGCGCTAGCTCGTTCGCCTGCTTCGGCCTCTCTCTCTCTCTCTCTCTCTCTCTCTCTCTCCTCAACCGTCGCGCCGTACTCGTGGCTCTCCTCGCCTCGCTTCTCCAATACGTATAGATCGTACATGCATACGTCGTATGCACGTGTATGCGCCTACGTGCCCGACTTGGTCCGCTATTTTATTGATTTATTTTGGCGCTAGGCTCTCTGTTTCTCTCTCTCACTCGCTCTTTTTCTCTGTGCTGCTCGCTTTGGACGTCCGTCGTCGTGCTGCCTTCGGCCGACGATCGATCGAAATGCGTCGGTCTCGTTTCTCGAGAATCTCGAGCACAGAGTTCCTGACGAAGAAGACGCTTGTTGCTGAGCTTAGTTTCCAAGATTCTCGCAATCGATTCTGGAAATGTACTTAACTCCACGAATAACACTTCATAATTCTTAAGAACTGATAGAAATTCTAAATAAGATTTATAAAAAACTTACGTATAAAAATATATTTGTTTTTATTTGTAGGTATTGCGATTTAATATTCTTATTAGATAATAGCTTCGATGACTGGTTTTACGAGTACATTTGGAATATTCTAATTCATAAGACTATTGTTGTTTATTCAAGAATTTCATGATTCATTACCATTAATATGTACATTATCGTATGATATATAATCATGTGAGATTTATGTTCTCTTCTCTCTTTCATTACGTCTCTTATATTCTTATTATATCTATTGTATTACTGTCATCACATTTTCATCACCCTATTCATATTCAACTATTCTATTGTCTCTTGTAAAAATTGTCAACGCCGAGCAAGAACGCGACTACCGGTATACTCAATTATCTCTCGCCTTCCCGATTCAAGCATGAAGCTCTCGGTTTCCGCGCTTACACGACAATAAATTGTCCTCCTACGTACGCTCGACTCTCGAATGTGTCCTCTCGAACGCTCGCGATAATCCGTTGCTCGCGAATATTTTACTGCAATCGTAAGTTCGGGGATTGCAACATGTTGCGTGTGGGTGCTGGGTGCTGTCCCGCGTCGCAGCGGAGTTGGAGGAGAGGCACGTGGATATATCCTGACGTACGGTGAAAGCAACAGGTTGCTCGTGTCCATTCCTCTCCTCCGCGGCGACGTCGCGTCGGTCCGGAGCACCCTCCTCCGCATCCCTTCTGAATGGGGCGAAATACTGGCTGGCGCCATCCCCTGGTACGATAGCCGAGATAAACAGACGGACCGTTTTCATTCATCGGATCCCGGAACGACTTTTCTGAATTGGAATCCCGTCGAGGTCGTCGGTCCTTACTCTCGGGAACAAAAGCGTGAATATACAGCGTCTCGTAACTTTTACTGTGCCTGCGTCGAATCAACTGGTGCCACGTTCGCCTCTGGGCGTTATGGGAATATTTCCGGAGAAGTTAAATTGCCTTTTAAAACCAAATATTTTTTTTAGCAATTAAGGCTGAAATTGCTATTAATTAAATTAACATTTAAATTTCTGTGTTTCTAAGATATTTTGTAATTGTACGGATTTATTAAGATGAAACATTTTCTCATTTACATCAAATATATATGTTGTAATCTTATAACTTTTTTATGGATAAATAATTCAGAATGTTCTATTGTCGTTGCGCAACTTTTTTAATATATACGTATAATATATGCGTAACGACAATACAATGACATGTTGAGAGCTACTGATTATCGGCACAGATCTCAACAAACCACGGACTTTCCGTTTTGGTTTCAAATAGTTGCATCTCGTACGTCACGAAGTATATTATTTGCGTTGTTTGCACTTGTTGCACTCAGAACCTTCGCTCTCTCTCTCTCTCTCTCTCTCTCTCTCTCTCTCTCTAACGCCCTCATTTTTGTCTCAAAATATTACTAACTAACGATCGTCAGTTTTGGGACACGCTATTTATCTCGTTTAAGTGCAAAATGTTTTTTTTTGGGGGATTTTAAGCAACGCGA